TGACCTAGAAATGCTGATATATTTTGAAATAGAGATAGATTGTTTTAAATATAAAGAAATTAAGAACATACTTCAAATATTTTCAGAAATAGATTTAGATATATTGAAAAGTATTTATAAATCTATGTAAATTTATGATCTAATTTAGAAGGAGTACGTCAAGGATTACTATTAACACCTTTCCTTAATTTATTGATTTAAGATATGAATGGTTTTTAAAGTGTAAAAATAAAACAGAGATAAAAAGAAATTAATTTAATACTCTTAGATGTTTCTTATAGATAATGCAGATGATTTAGCTATTGTATGTAATAGTTCTATTTTGAATGTTGTGAAAACTTGTTTTATCAATTAAGCTAAAGAATATAATTTAAAATTAATATGGGTTAGTCCTTAAGAATAAATAAGAAAAGAAAAAGAATTCAAAAATTTAATTTTATGGCAAAGGAAATGCTAATAAATTATGTTAGAATAATTCCAAAATTATATAAAAATCAGGTTTTTCATAAATTTAAAATTTAAGGTAATATATTGGTCTACTTTAAAATTTAATATTCAAATCCATTACTTATTTAATAATATTATCATAATAAATAGATCTATTCAGAATAATTTACTTTATTATCTTTAAATTTAATTTCTAAGAACTTTAGATTTTCAAAATATTAATAATTAAGGAAACAATCTTGATAATTAAGAGAATATTATATTATATTAATTTTACAATTTTTTTTTATTATTATAGAATAAGATGAAGAAAATCACAATTAATGGACTCCATAAAATTTGTATATATAGAATACTATTTTTTCAGGAAAGTAAATAACAAGTCTTTAATGTGAGGCAGAGGGACAATAATGTCTTTTTCAACTTTATAATAAGATTTAACTATATTTTATGCCTATTTTTTGGACAAGAGCCATAATCTTTTTATCCTAAAGAATTGCTTTATATTAAAAAGAAAAATTTGACATTAAATTCCGGAAAATTAAAAGTTAGAATACTATCCAAAGAGTTAGTAATTGTTTGATAGTTAATACTAGAAAAAAAAGCAGAGTATCCTTAGACTTTTTAAATACTCAAGGAAAAAGTAAATTAATTAGTAAATATTCTTTAATTGTAAAAATGTGTTAACTAATAAATTGAAATATTTTTCATCTAATTATTAAAATTAGAAATCAATTACATAGTTACATTTATAATTAAATAATGATATGAAATATTGAATTAATTTAATTTATCTAAATTAATTCAATAAGGGATATCTAGGATTAATAAATTTTTAGAAATGTATTCTCTAAAAGTGTTAGTCAATTCTTTAGAATGATAGAATATTATCAAAAATCAAGAATTATGTTCCTATTATTAGCTTATAAGAATACTTTCAGTATTTTTTATTAGGATTTGCTCTTCTATACCACTTCTATCCTCTAATTTTTAACAATAATTTACATGAATAAACTTAAAATATCTATTATCTGATTTATTTTTTTACTCAGTATGATTAAATAAAATGATAATGTATGCACTCAACCATATTTAGGCTACAGCAAAGATTTAATAAATAAAATTTTGAGATAATAGAAAAGAATCAGAAGATTAACATACATTTTTTATAATTTGAAGATTTTTCTATTTATTATTGTATTTGATAATTTCATGTTATTATTTCATTCAATATTTCTACTTTTCCAGTACCATTAATACATGGATAATACTCATAATTTGGATCAATGTCAAGTAGCTATATTATTATACAAAGCTTACAAAAAATTCTTTGGTAGATTATTTTATCCATTTAATGTATTGTTTTTAAATGTCCACCTCTATAATTATAATATCATTGTTAGTAAAAGTGAATGGAATAGAATCATGATATTTATCTTATTGATGATGACTGAAACAATAGCCACTACTCATTATAAGATAGGCACTAAAAATAAATTATCTTTACCCATTTCCTGGAAGATGTATATTCGAATACCCAGATTTAGAAATTATTTCTTTCGCCCCTATTCCAACCATTGTCTAATTTGTAACAATCTCATGTATTAGATAAGCAAATTTTACATTACCTTATTTAGGGATGGCTTAATCACATAAACATGAATAAAATAGACTCTTATTAAAAAATAGCTTTCCATTTTATGATACCTAACAACTAGGCTATTTATAAATTTCAGAAAAAGTAAAAGAATTTAATAATATAGGTGTTTATAATTGCTAATCTTAAATTATGTTTTCTTGTTGTTATTTTATTAATTCATTTAATTTATTATTTTCTAACATGAAATCATCTTTTTACTTTAGCAATTCTTTGATTGTTTCCTATTGATTTTTTATAATTTGATTTTGAGTATCATTTAATTATATTATTTCTTGTTCTTTTTATTACAGTAATGCATGAGATTCTTAATAAAGTTGATCATAATTATTCACATCATTCTTCTTTCTTTCTTTGAGCTCTTATAATATCTTTTGCAATTCAACATTTGTAATTTAGGCTAGCTCAAATTTTTGTTATTTCTCCTTATTTAGGTATACAATTTAATCAATTAAAGGAGTAATTTCTGCCACAATTTCATTTGCAAAATTACATTATACCAGTCTCTCTTGTGATATTTAATGAAAAGCTTAAGAAATTGTTATCTATTTAGGAACGAAATAAGGAATTAAAATTTAATCAATAGAATTTAGTATTTTATCATAAGAATCCCTATATATGAAAAAATCAATATTATACTTCTACAAACTAGCTTATCTATTATATTTTTTCTCCAATCATTTTATTATTTATCATTATTATTTTATATTTTTTATTGATTTAATATATCTATAAAATATCTTAATTACCATATAATTTATCAGATATCATAATTTGAACTATATATGTAAAAAATCAAAAAAAATTTTAATTACATTTGATACTAGAGTGAATATTACAATGTAATTTAATCCACTCTTTAAATAACATTCTTTGATAAAATGGTTCAATTATAATTATTTAATTTTGATTAGAAATTCCTATAATAATACACTATATCTTCTGAAATAAATAGTGTTATTCAATTTTATCTAATTTGAAGGCTAAAATTTTTAAAGAAACTCATTTTAATATTATTAAGTATAAAAAGTTAATTCTTTATTAATTAATATCTTTGACTTTTTTCTTAGTTAAACTTTTTTCTGGATCACACTCAAACAACTATAAATAAGAATTTAAACTATATTAAGGCATCTTTTTAAATTATAAATTTAGATTTTAATATTTTATATGATTCAACCTTAAATTATTATAAAAATTAAGATATTCTTTTAAAATTGCAATATAATATTAATTATTTAAATTTTATCATTAAATTAATATGATCTAACTATTGGAATTTTAATTTAATTTTATTGTCTCATTAGTGGCAATACCATACAGAAAAAAGTTGGCTTTTCTAAATCATATAGAGATTGGTTACTTATTAATCTATTTAAATTTCATAATTTATATATGTTCAAAATTTAGTTTACAACTTGATTCATTGAACTTCCTTTAATCTTCTTTTAAGAAATATATACTTCTTCTTGATTATTTTATTCAAATTAAAGTATAAAAATCCCACAATTTTTTATTATTGCTTGATAGTCAAAGCTCTCTTCAATAAAGTAGTTAAAAATATAGAAAGAACTAAGTTCTTATTCAAATTATAATTTTCTGTATTATTTGTTTTAATTCTGAATTAATATTTTTTTTCTTTAAATTAAGAGCTAAAAATCTCAATAACTTAGCATCTAATATCTAAAGTATTTTTTCCTCTACATCGAAAAAATAATTGATTATCTAAAAGATCTAACTATCCCAAGACTCATTACTAATTCCAGTCTGAACAATAACTATATGTTTAAACAAATGGATAAATTATTCTTAAAAGAAAATACTATTCAAAATCCCTTTCAAAAATTAAGTTGTATTTTTTTCTTATCATATAGATGACTTTGATTATTCTAATTTGGAAATACTGTAATTACCAAAAGGTTACAAACTTTGACAATTATAACTTCCTTACAATCTCTTCTTCAGCACCTTGAAATAAGTGTATAGAATTGTATGTTACATGATAAAGCCATATGTTATTCTGAATGAAATTAAATTCGGCCAATAATAATATTAAGGCCTACTAATCCTCTCACTTACCATAAATGCATCTGGCCTTAGAGGTTATATCAAATTAGATATTTTAGTAAATCTTTAAGTTAAATAAAATTAGAGAGTTGCCAAAAGATTTAGTTTAATATAAATATTTATGAATTTAAAGGATTTAATACTATAATAGATCATAATAAAAAGAAATTATTGGATAGATAAAATTACATTTTGCTTCACTTTAGCATTCTTATTATTTCTTATAATTATTTGTTTTTCTTAAAGCTTTATAGTTAGAATAAAATAATTCAAAAAACGGTATAATTTCATAAATCTTCGCCTCCATATATTTGTACATAAAGGAAATCAAATGTAAGTTTTAGTTAGAAATTATTAAATGTAATTTTAAAATATTTATAAATTCCAACAGCAAAAAGGCTATGTTCTTTCAGTAAAACTTTTTTTAACTTGGTTAATAACCAAGAAAAATTATCAAACTAAAAGGGCATATTAACCTGAAATTCAAATTAGATTTTCATTAATTGGTTTATAATTAAAAATTGCATAATTAATAAATTACTCTTTAGATTTATAAACTACACATCTATTATATTATATTAATGATTATTATCAATTTATTAAGATTATGCAAAAAATATTGTACAATAATTACAAAAGTTGAATTAGAAGCAAATGAGTCTATCATTAGGACTTGCATATTACTTTATTATTTGCAATCATTTTTTTAATTTTAAGGAATTTCTAACTCTTTTACTTAATTCATTAATTGCATTGATCAAAATGTAAAGTCAATTAGATAATAATGAAAGTAATTACGAACAACTTCATGAGTATTCCCTTTTGCAATTCAAAATCTTTTTATATTTTTGAAAGCCCCAATCCCTAAAATTTTATTATTGAAATATTACCTTTGTTATTATAGGCAATAATATTATTTTGATCTAGTGAAATCGATTAATCATAACAATCTAATGCCTTATTATATTTTTTTTAAGTATATATAATTACATCTATTATTGTTATGATATGTTATGTTATGTTAACACAAAACCTTTAATAATTAATAATATAAATACATTTTATAAAATAAAAATAACCTTTTTTTGGGGAAATTTATTATACATTATTCAGTAATTGCAATAGCTTATTCATATTATCTTATCGCAATAACTGTTATAATATAACTATTAATTATTTTAATTTATGCTTTCATTCCATAAAGAATAAACATGATTTTAATCTAGGCCTAATATAGCATTAAAAGATATCATAAAGTATATCTTTTTTCCTCTTTAATGATAGCATATCTTCTCTTGAATTTTAAGCTCGAAATATCACTCCTCTTAGTTCTTAACCTCTTCTCTAATTATTTTCGAGTTTATTCTTAAAAGTTATAAATATAGAATTTCTCTAACATTTTAAAAGGTTTACAATTACTATCTAATTATATTAATATAACACCTTATTTTTATTTATTTTTCATTAATAACACTATGCTAAAGGATTTTGCATGTCTTCTTTTAAAACTTCTTCAAATTTTTCTAAATTACTTCTGTATTCTTTCTTGTTTATTAATTCCATTCCTTTTATTGAACAAAATAATTCACTGTAATTAGTAATTAAAATATTTATTATGATTTTAGTCATTATTTCAAATTAACTATATTATTGGAAAGTGAACTTGGTAGAAATGACTTAAAATAATAATTAAAATATTCTTCTAGATAAGAATAATTTTACAAATAATAAACTCAATAGACTTAATTCATAAGCTTACTTTAAGTCTTTCATTAATCTATTATTAATTAAGCCTTATTTATGGTCACTGCCCTATTCTCAAAATTCTTTCCTATAATCTCCTATAAACAAAAAATACTAGGAAGATTTTTTTAAACCTGCAAATTGTAGTGTTTAAGGGAACTAAAATTCCATAAAGTAATTCTTATTATCAGTAGATTATGTATTAATTAAGAAATCTATTCTATTTATTTAATATAGATACAGAGTTGCAATTTAATACAATGTTAAGGATTTAAAATATCATTCCTTAAATTTCAACAATATTATGAAATTCTTTTTGATTTTATTGTTAACCTTTTACTAATATTCCTATTTAATGTAATTTTACTATATGGTAAGAAGGATAATTAGGTAAGACCTTTAAGAAGTATATTTAATGTATAAAAATTATTATTTTTAATCTTTTTTAGATATATTTTATCTTTTCAAATTGACATTTGATTTCAAACTATTTGTTAAAGTATATCTATTAGTTATATTTTATTATTAATAATACTTATTAGTATTGTTTTAAGGTTTTCTCTTATATTTATGAGCATATTTAATAAACTGCAGCTAATAATTAATTAATTTATTACCTAATTTTTGAAGCAATTTTATATATTTTTTACATTTGAACATAAGATAATAATAATTAAATATAAATTGAACATATAAAATTAACTTATATATTGTTTATTTTACAATAACTATTGTAAATAATCAATTTATATTTATTAATCTCTTGATTTTAAGGGTAATAGTTAGAGAATTTATCATTAAAAAAAAAGAATATAAAATGATAATATATTATTTAATTTATTATGAAAAATAGGTTCAAAGTAATCCTATAGCCACAGAACCAAGATTTATATTTGGAAGCTGACTAATCTATTTCAGTTGAGGAATTATTTGAATACATAAAGACCTCTTTTAAGTAATGTTATTTTATGAAGTAGAATTGATAATGATTTGAAAAATTGGAATTGTTATTCTGAATCAAAATGCATGTATTTAGATTTAAAGAGTGAATTAGAAAATGTCTAAAATGACAACTTAATCATCAATACTTAACATTTTTCAAATACTCACACTGGAATGAATCAAGACTAATAATCAATAAATAATCAACATTTTCAAACTCCATAATAATAAATCAATAATCAATATTAATAAAAAAATAAAAAATAAGACTAAATTAATTCATATGTATTTAATGAAATTCCCGATTCCAATAAACTATCTATTAATTTTGTAATAAGAGATGGATCTATTAAAAGATAATTCCCAAGACAATTCTTAAGATAATTCTCAAGATAATTTAATATACATGATAAATTATTAAAATTAAAAGATGCGGTGATGGAATATTTATGATTTGAAAGGTATTTTGATATTTTTATAATTAGTAATGATGAAGTTTTTTGCGATTTATACATATTTAATTAGCCTTACAGAGAATATTACTTGGAGCGATTAACACTGCATCAGTTATAATTAAAATATGATTTTGAAGTTCAAATAGTATTAAGATAGATTGGATACAGTGTTGATTGAATTTTAATAAAACCCTAAATCTATATTGATTAATAAATAAATTAATATAAATTTAAAATTAAAATGATATCCAGTTCTTCTATGTAATAATCAAGTTTAATTGTAAAAAATAGCAGCTAAAAAGGAATCATTTTAAATATCAAAATCCTAAAGAACAAAGACCAAATTATATTCACAACTATTATTGTTTGAATTAGAATTCAAAAATAAAAAAATTTTACTATTTTATTCACAATTTTGAATTTAACTAATTATACATAAAGTCAGAATTACAAGTATTTATTATTAACTAAATTAGTCATATTTATTAATATGTATAGAAAAAAATGAGAAACTTTTAACTTACATAATTGTTTATAATCAAATGGAATTCAAATGATGTAATTAATCAGTCTTAAGGTTTTAGAGATTCAAAATCATTATCAAAATAAAATAATATCAAAACCTATTTTACTTTATATAAATTTTTGCATTAGGAAATACTTTATCAATCAATAACTGATTATGGAAGAATTATTATATTTATTTTTGATATTTATTAATTGTTATAAGATAATTTTTAAAATAATAATTACAAAGATGGAACATTCTTGAACAAATGTATCAAGTTAGATTAAAAAAAAAAATTTTGAATTTAGTTAGCTTGAAAGAATATTAAATAATATCTAATTTAATATTCTGTGACTGAAGGAAAGAAAATTTATCATAATTAAAATGTAAATTAATCCTTATTATTTAATATTGATATAATAATTAAAATCCATATAAAATATCATTTTTATTTTTTATTGGTTTCAATACTAATTATGACAATATTAAACATAAAGATCTTTAATAATATTAGAATAAGAATTGTAATGATAGATTAGTTTAAAAGAAATGCAAAGTTAAGACTTTTTAAGAATTGCTTTAGAAATATAAATATAACCTTAGTTATATCTCAAATTAATTAAAAATAAAAATATTCTGTTGATTCATCAAATTATAGCAAATTTCTGAATTTAGTAATATTAATGAACCCATTTGGTTTGTTAATATTTAAAAAATAATAGTTGATTTTTAATTAAAAAACATAAATTTTTATCTTAAAATTAAACTATAGATAAGATTTGTAATTTAAAGATTTTATACTCTTAATTTTAAATTAATATTATTTTTTCCCATGATATATTATTTTAATAATGCTTTCTACTAAATGTTTAATATTAATTTTTATTTATCACAATATATGTGAATAATTTGAGTCTAAGGAAAATTTTAAAAATTAATTATTTTAAGAGATTAGCTTTTAGAATATGGACTAAATAAAATCCATTAGATATCAAAGCTTTAAAGATCAAATAGGAATGCTTAAAAGTAATTGCTTTTAGTCAATAAATATATTGGAATAAACAATATAAAATTTATTTATTTTAATTGTTTAGACTATTCTACAAAAAGAATAGCAAAGTATAATTATTTTTTTAATGATCAAAATGAGTTTATTCGATTTGAGAAAAAGCACTGCAATTGTGTAATAAAATGAATAAATCAATTTAGAGAATATTATAAAATCTAATAGTATTATCTTGATAGATATAGACTGTAATTTACTTTTATACTTTAGATGGATGTTAAAGAATATTAAATTTTTTTATAGAAATCTAATTATTATTAATTTATGAAAAAGTATAGGAAATTAAATCTTAGAAATAAAAACGTGGTATTGTCACTAAAGATATTTTGTATTCCAAATAGAAATTAGTGATATAAAGTGATATTATTAAATCACAGGCCTTATTTAGTTTTTAATTAAAACATAATGAAATGAAGATTAAAATCGCTTTTTATGATTAATAATTGATAACTAATTCTATGAGGGTTAAGTTAAAGTAATTTGATTTTAAAAATATTATTATAAATTAAGAAATGGAAATTATCTTATAGGATGGTACAATTATTAACATATTTTAGTAAAAATATATATAATTAATTGTTTTCCTAGTTTAAATGCATTCTTTATCTTTTTCAATCGAATAGTAGAGGGTTTATTGGGCAAATAAATGTATTATGAGATTTTGAAAGATGATATTTTCTTAATACATTTTATTCCTTCTTAATTAAAAAATGATTTATTATAATTATTCTGTATTTCTTTTGAAGAGATGGTTCTAAATTAAGTATAAACATTTTATTAAAGATGTTTTTCAAAAGTAAGAATGAACTTTATTTAAAGATTAATTAATCCTTATTTTAAGTATCTGAAGGAATCATAAGTTCAATCGAAATGTGTATGAATATATCTTTTGATCTTAAAATGAAATATTTACTAGTAACAACATTACTAAAATAATTAAGTAGTGGTATAAATCTCATCTGGAGTCATAAAGACTAGAATGAAAAATTAATAATAACCAAAAGCAAAATAATAAAAGCAAAAGATTTAAAAAATTAAACAACTTGATAGTCTCAAAATACAATTAACCTTCTGAAAGGCCTAATAATAGTTTGATGATGTAGGTTCATAAGTTTCCTCAATTCCTTTTAGAATATCTCTTTATTATAAACAATTTTAAATAATCAACGAATTGATATTTTCAACAATCTTCTCCAATAATATCAAACAATTTAATAACATTCTTCATTTTAATTCTTGTAAGGATAATTAGGATGATAATTTTGATTTAGTTGGTAATTTATAGAAATATCAAGATCTTATGTTATTATAGAATATTAAGTATGATATTTATGATCCAATTGAACCATTTTTAAATACAAGATACACATTTATTGGACTCAACTAATTCTTATCTATAAAAATGATAACACAATAAGAATAAAATTAATTAGTAGTAATTCCGAATTCAAATATGGATAAAAGATAAGAATTCTAATCCTTTTTTAAAACAATTATACATCTTCTAATCTTTTGTTACATTTTATGATATACAGTATTTGTAATCTTTATACTTTGAAAGTTATTAGTACATATCAACAAAAAAAAGGAAGCTAAAGAAATACAACCTTTAGAAGTGGAGGAGTTCTACATATTCTAAACTATCAATAAGATTATAAATTAGCGTTCATAATACGATCATTTGTAATAGAGAGTTCTTATTTTTACTATTCCTATAAAAATTTAATTCCATTTTTATAGGAATAGTAAAAATAAAGTTTTGATGATATTTTATACTTTTTTTAATAAATACTCTGATTAATTAAAAATTTAAGATTATTATTATGAATACTTTTTTTTTTGCTTACTTATTATTGTTTCTATCTAATAAAATAACCAAGATCGACAAATAAAATTTTAAGTTTATCCGACTTAAATTATTATAAAATCATATTAATACCAATTATAACTATTTATATTAATATATATTAGAAAGCTATGGTTAGATTGATTATAATTTAATAAAAATAATTTGATTAGAATTAAAAAAAAAACAAAAA